TATCATTTTCAATGAGTCTTGTTAAAACAAGGCTACGAAATAAAATGGAAGATGAATTTTTGAACAACTCGTTGATTTTATACTTCGAAAGGGAGCTTGCAGAAAAGATTACTTTAGAGACGATTGTGCAAAACTTTAAAGACGTTAAAGATCGACGGATTCCACTTTAATGAGCGATGTTAGAATATTTTATATTAATTTTTTTGTTTGATTTTTTATATTTTATGACGTTGAATCGAATAAATATATTTTAGTGCTTCTTTTAAAAATTTAGTTTCGGCCCCCTGGTATAACTTTTCGTGTTCCGCCCTGGTCCCAAACCCCAATAAAACCCACCACCCACTTATTTCTGTTTTTCCTCTACAATTCCATCCTCACTTGATAGTTCATACGCTTTTCATGGCCGTTGGAACCTCCAATTCAACACGCAATTCATGATGATCACCGATAACCACTCCATTGGAAACCTCCCTTACAACTTTCAGTTACAACACGGTTTCGCACATCTTCTCTCCGGCACCACCATCGAGACTCTCCTTCCTGTAATGTACGAGGCCACCACTAATCTTGATTTCTTCAAGAAGACAGCGGCCTTACTTACAGTCTTCCGATTTCTAGAAAGCGGTCTAGAGATACGTATCCCTTCTTTAACGCTCCAAACATGAATCAGAATCTAATTCAATCAACTTCAACGTTTCTTGGCCAAGACATCTCGACTCAGATCCAACATCAGCACCTGGAGATCGACCGATTCCTTGCTTTTCATGTAATAATCATATCTCTCATCTCTGCTATAACATTCCTCTTAATTTTCTTCGGATCAAATTTACGTTATTGTTTGCTAAAGTAAACTCCGCTTTTAATTTATTCAGACGGAAAAAATGAGAGTGCAGATAGAAGAGAGACGAAAGAAAAATTCAAGGACAATCATAGCAGCGTTAGAAGAAGGTATGACGCAGAGGTTGAGGGAAAAAGAAGAGGAAATTGTTAAAATGGCAAAGTTAAATTGGGCGTTGGAAGAGAAAATCAAATCTCTGTGTATGGAGAATCAAATCTGGCGTGAATTGGCGCAAACTAACGAAGCGAAAGCAAACGCATTACGCAGTAACTTGAAACAAGTTCTCGAGCAGGTTGTCAACGACGATTTCCGAAACCGTAACACGGCGGCAGGTGAGGACAAGGCGGCGGACGATGCTCAGTCGTGCTGTGAAAGCAACAACGAGGAAGTGCGCACATTAGCGGAACAGGATAGCAGTAACAGTAATCTGATGATGATGATGTGCAAAAATTGTCGGAAAATAGAGTCACGTGTGTTGTTGCTTCCCTGCAGGCATCTCTGCCTTTGTACAGTGTGCGCATCTTCTGTCAACATTTGCCCCATTTGTAAATCCACAAACAACATCACCATTCATGTTCAAATGTCCTGATGCCATTCTTTTAAAACCTTCTTTATGTTCGAATCTTATATTCACCCGGAATTTGTGCATCAGAATCTTTCAATTTATTTAGTAATCACAATTATTGTATATAATAATCTATCTGTATGTGGTACCATAATTATAAATCTGACAGGATTTTAACTATGATAAATATATAAAGAGAAATTAAATAGTCAAAGGCCAGTCTTGATTTTAGCAATTGTCAATGAGAAGAAAGAAGAAAGTGACACGTGCAGAGTGCAACAGAACACGAAGGATGGGAGGGGTGTGCGCCCATTAAGGTTGTCCTTTTTTTTTTTTGTTTTTTGTTTTTTGTTTTTTTTTTTTAATTTTTTGTTAAGTGCACGTCTGTCTGTACATGTCGCTATAGTTTGCGAAACTGTAGGCCATTAAATTATTATTAAATGAAATTGCGTATAAAAAAGGGAGGCTAGAAATAAAAAGATGTGATGCATTTCATCTCTTTATAGAAATAAAAAGATGTGATACATTTCATCTCTTTATAGATATCCAATTTTGATGAACTTTCACGTGTCATGATTATCACATTAGACTAACTCACCCGTTTTCTGCTTAGATATATACTGATTTCGTTTCAGACCAAATCGTTTAATTAATTTATTTATTTGAACAGAAAAAAAAATTATTAAAAATAACATAGCACATTATCAAGAAACTAGATTTGAAATCACTGCTTTGGTTTAAACACCATCATAGTCCCATTCTTGCTTCTAATTTTAAATCAATGGAAAGAATCCAATGCATAACTAATCTAATAATACTAGTTAAATGTATGGTTTTATTGAATTATAAACGTATAGTAACTTAAATAAACTAACACATATTATAAAATAAAAAATTATATTAGGTTATAACTCGTAGAAACCATAGATATGTTTAAAATTATTATATATACAAAAAAGTATTAAAAAATATATTTAGGAGAATGTATCATTAATTTTTTGGGATACATAGAAATTTGATAGTATTTTAAAAAAATAGATACCATATATTTCGAAAATGATATTATGATTGAATTTCTTATTTTCAAAAATTGAATTAAAGTTGATTTGTTAGAAAAAAAATAGGAAATCGTAGAAATCATAGAAAAATAATAAATGTCCGCAAGCTAGAAAAACAATAGTTGACACTTTTAGATTTCGTTTATTAGAATTGATTAATAATTATATTAGGTTATAATTCATAAAAACTGCGGTAGATATGTTTAAAATTATTATAAATGTAAAAAAAATATTAAAGTATGTAATTAGGAGAATGTATCTTTGATTTTTTGAGATACATTAAAATATGAGAGATTTGATATGATTTTCAAAAAATAGATATCATATATTTCAAAAATGATTTTAGGATTGAATTTTTTATTTTCAAAGAATTAAAGTTGATTTGTTACAAAAAAAAAATAGAAAATCATAGAAAAATAATAAATGTCAGCAAACTAGAAAAACAATAGGTGACACTTTTTGATTTCGTTTATAAGAACAGATAGATAGATTTTGAATGATTATTAGAGAGTGTTTATTCACTTCATAATTAAGTCTTAGTGATTTTATTTATTTGAATTAAAGTTGATTTGTTACCAAAAAAAATGTTAGAAATCATAAAAAAATGACAACTGTCAAAGAAGCAAACTAGAAAAATATCAGGTGCCAATTATAGGTTTCGTCTATTAGAATAGATAGATAGATTTTGTATGATTATTAGAGAGTTTTTATTCATTTCATAATTACGTATTTATGAATTTATTTATTTATTTATAAATTTATTGACTATGTGTAGATGGAGTGTATCCTGACCTTTTTACCCTTCTTACTTACATGTCACATAGTTGTTACATCATATTTTTTGTCTCATCGTTCAATTCTAACTTTTCTATAACTAAACACTTAGATGTATCTTTGATTTTTTGGGATATATTAAAATCTCAAATATTTGATAGGATTTTTAAAAAATAGATATCATATATTTCAAAAATGATATTAGGATTGATTTTTTTATTTTCAAATTTAAATTGAAGTTGATTTGTTACCAAAAAAATAGAAAATCATAGAAAAATAATAAATGTCGGCAAACTAGAAAAACAATAGGTGACACTCATTGATTTCGTTTATTAGAATAGATACATAGATTTTGAATGATTATTAGCGAGTGTTTATTCACTTCATAATTAAGTCTTAATGATTTTATTTATTTATTTGCAAATTTACTGACAATGTGTAGATGGAGTCTATCATAATTTTTATTTGAATTAAAGTTGATTTGTTACCAAAAAATAAAAATGTTAGAAATCATAAAAAATGACACATGTAAAAAAAGCAAGCTAGAAAAATATCATGTGCCAATTTTAGGTTTCGTCTATTAGAATAGATAGATAGATAGATTGTGTATGATTATTAGAGAGTTTTTATTCATTTCATAATTAAGTCTTTATGGATTTATATATTTATTTACAAATTTATTGACTATGTGTAGATGGAGTGTATCCTAACCTTTTTACCCTTCTTACTTACATGTCACGTAGTTGTTACATCATATTTTTTGTCTCATCGTTCAATTCTAATTTTCCTACATCTAAACACTTAGAAATTCATATTCTCAACTACACTTTGGTATATGTAACATCCCAAAAATAAGACCTGAAAATTTCATTTTTAAATTGATAAAACCAGTATTCCGGAAAACATCATCATAAAAATACAAATGAAACAAATGTATATATCGTCACATCATATCAAAGTGAGTTAAGAAAGTGCGGAACGAGGTGGTGTGTGCCCTGCAATCAACCCGAGCTCCTCCATTTGAAAACCGAAGTACCTTAAACATAAATGAAAACCGTAAGCACGAAGCTTAGTGAGCTCCCCAAAATACCACATACCAAACATATAAATGGGCCCAGCCCTGGGGTTCATTCCAACCCAAAAACCAAGTATGGGTCCACGCCCTGGGGTATATTTCAACCCGAGCATATAACAGTGGGCCCCGTCCTAGGGTATATTTCAACCCAGTCATAACATAATGGGCCCTGCCCTTGGGTATATTTCAACCCAAACATAACACATTGGGCCCCGCCCTGGGTATATTTCAACCCAAACATAACATGTATCACACAACATCTAACATACTACATAACCAGATAATGGGTCCGCCTTGGTGCCTTCGACCCATGGATATAGTGAGAAGACTCACCTCACACTACCAAACCAAACAGAAAATCCCTGGCTGCTGGCTGACAGATCCCCGAACTATCAAAGTCTAAACAACACCCAATCAACAATTGGGTTCCAATCTGTAACCTTAAATCCATACTTGGGGTAAAAAGACCATTTTACCCCTAACCTAGCTTGGTCCAAGACTAAGACCCAAACTCACAATCTGAAAGGCCCAAAGGCCAATTAATCAACCAAGTCCCAAATAAGGCCTAATTTTCCAAATTGGGCCCAAACCCCTTACATGGGCCTTACCCAAAAGCCCAACCATTATTCCTAGTCCAAAACACTTGTACTCACATGACCCATTAATAACCCAACACCCAAGTGTTGGGTTTTAGTATACTACAACATCCTATGGTGCACATACAACCCTAAATACCTTGGATCTATG